CATCTAATTCATCTGTCTGTATACCTACTACATCCTCATTAACTGGTCCCTCTCTCAGTCTAGTCCTTATTTAGCCCATAAACATGATCTTTCCCTTAAATGGCTCCTAACTACACTTTGGGTAAAGTCCTAGCTGTCTGAATTTGACTCTTAAGGCCATTTGTGACTTAAGTTAATTCTTATTTTCTGCTTCTTTTACTCTATTCAGCCATCTTGAATTCTTTGGAGTGCTCCTTTCTCTTAGATTTCATGTTTATTTCTCGTCTCTCCAAAGCTCTATTTTTTGGACTCATCCTTTGGGCCCAACTCAAGATATGTCTACTGGAATCTTTTCCTGTGCCCCATGTGTAATAGAGTATCCCACCTCTATAACCCTATAGCCCTCAGTACTCATTCCTATTAAAACATTGATTTCACTCTCATGTGGAAGACAAGAAAGTGAGGTTCTTGGGAAAAAGGAAGGATTGGCAGGGTCTTGTTTTATTCTTTGCTGTCCTGAACACCCTGCACACACTAATATGCTCATTGGCATCTGTTGAAGGAATGAATTCATTAACAAACAAACTCAGCAAGTATTGGTGTTGATGGTTTCTTCTTTTTACTTAGCTATTGAGAGAATGTTTGCAGAATGTTAAAAAGAATGTTTGCAGGTTCATGGGTTCTTGCAACCTGTAATGAGTACTTCAGACATACTGAGTGTTTCTCTGATCATATTGAACCCTCACAGCCTCCTGTGAGGTTGGGAATAGCTTCATTCCCTACTTCCCGCTCAGGTGAGAAGTGATTTTCTCAGGTGTGTCAGAAGATGTGGGCTAAGGCTCCAACCCCAGGTCCAGGGCCCTTTCTATTTTGATTTTGGCAGCTACATCAGTCTGCTTTAATTCTACTCAACTCTGTCTTCCATCCATTCCTGTCCTGATGGCTGTTTCCAAGAACTGATGGAATTAAAGACAGATGACTGTACAACCGTGGGAAAGCTCATCCAGAAATCCTATTCCAAAAACTTGACTCAGTGGCTGCTTTAGGTGAGAAGAAATCTGGTGTCAAAAGTTAAGGGTTGAAGAAACAGGAGTCTGTGAACTTTTGAGTGAATGTGCCTTTATTAAACAGAGAAGTCATGAACTTTGAGCTTAGTATTTTATGCTGTTGTCCACATAATGGTGAATGGGGGTTATACACAAAGGGAAAGGAGCCAGGATATATTGAGTATAAACTCTGGGTCATGAACTGACTTTATCTTTCCCAAATCCTATGAAATAGATATTCGGGCTGTATGAGGAAAATTCTGGCTGAGCAAGTGTTTTAGCCCATTCAGGGTGCTGTAACAGTATGCCATGAAATAGGTGGCTTATAAGTAAGGGAGGTTATTTCTCACCATTCTGAAAGCTGAGCAGTCCAAGACGGAGGAACTGGCAAATGCCGTGTCTTGTAGAGCTCGCTTTCTCGCAGATAGTTATGTTCTCACTGTAATCTCACATGGTCTATGGGGAAAGGGATCTCTGATGGGCATATTTTATAAAGGCATTAATCCCATTCTTGAGGGCCCCACCCTCATGAATTTATCATCTCCCAAAGGCTTCTCCTGCTAATACTATCATTATGGGGACTAGGTTCAATATATAACTTTTGGAGGGATGTAGATATTTGGACGATAGCAGCAAATCATCCAAATCACATGGTTATTAAGTGACTGAGCTAGATTCAAAATCAGGGCTGTGTATCTATGAGTTTCTTTGCAACATGTGTCAGGCAGTGGATTCTGGAATCATACTGTGTGTGTTAAATTTGGCTCTATGAGTTTCCTATGACTGGCACTTTGGGAAGCCACTTGATCTCCTCAGAATTCACTTTTTTTCATGTATTAAATGTGAATAACAGGACCTCCTATGTTTTTGTAGTTATGTTAAGTATGATTTAAGGTACTATCAGTAAAGTATATTCCTATACCTGGTCAGTGTGACATAATCATCGTCATCATCTTAGTCATTATTACCCCATTACCTCTTGCCCATCTATTCTCCAATAAAGCAGGTACTCCTGGATCATGGGATCGATGGGTACTCAGAGAGTTGTTTTTGAAGACTTTATCATTCTTTGGAATTTAACATTTGGTCAAAGGTACCGGACACTTGCCAAGGAGGAATTCAATATCTCTTATCTGAAATATTTGGGACCATAAGTGTTTCAGAGTTCAGTTTTTTTTTTTTTTATTTTTAAATAGTTGCCCTATACACAATGAGATATCTTTGGGATGGACCCCAAGTCAAAAGACCAAATTCATTTGTTTCATGTAACATGCACACATACATGCACACACACGTATGTCTATATCAGATGAAGGTGATTTTATACAATATTTTTAGTGAACCTACATTTTTTTTTTCTGTGACCTGTCACATGAGGTGATGTGTGAAATGTTCCACTTATGGCATCATATTGGTACTCAAAACTTTTGGATTTGGGGGCATTTCCGATTTTTGGATTATAGGGTTCACTACTTCCTCAGCAGACCACACTAGATGATGGCCAGATAACACAACAAGTTAGTTGGGAGAGCTGTCAGAGTGCCGCAGTCTGGCTGGGCACAAAATCACGAGCCACTCAAGCAGGAACAAACTTTATTTTTTGAAACTGCCTCCAATGTCCGGTATGCGCCCGGGAAGATCACACACGGCGTTCTCCCGGAACCGCCAGAGGAAGTTCCTCCCTCGGAACTCCCTCCTACTGTACTTCCCCAACCAAAGGGAACGCTCCAGGAGTCCAATATCCATATGAATGCAAATCTTAACATAATCATATCATCTCAATGGCTAGCTGGCGTCACCTTTCAACCAAAAATGCCATGCATCATATACTTGGCTCTTAGCATCAGAGGAATTTGCCTATAAGTGAAGTTAGTGTTTTTAGGGGGAGATAGCAGCTTAGCCAGGTATGTTTGGATGTTCTACCAAGGAACTACCAAAAATACATTTGAATTTACCTGATAAAATTTAGAGTAATATTGAAAGTACACATATGTTAAATAATGTCTTTTGGGTCCAGACTAAATGGAAGTCTAAACACTTTGCTATGTTATTTGATCTTCACAAGAACCCTTTTTATTTGGCTGTACTGGTTATTCAGTTTTATAGCTGAGACAACTACAGCTCACAAATGCTAACATGACCAGGGTTGCCCAACATGGAAGGGGCAAATATAGCATTTGAATCCAAGTCAGTCTGCCTCTAGAATCCATGCTTTTTTCTTTTTCTTACTTTGTTCTTTCGAATTTTATTTTAAACTGATACATCAAAACAGAATCATACATATTAACAAGGTAACTAATATTTCAATACACGTATGCACGTTACATGTTTAAATCAGGTTAAAGATATCTGTCTCATTAAAAATTAATCATTTCTTTATGGTGAAAACTTCCAAATCCTTTCCTCTAGCTTTTTGAAATGTGCAATACATTGCTGCTTGCATAGCCACCTATAGTGCACAAGTACACGAGAGCTTCATATTCCTCCCGTCACCATGCATTTCTTAACTACTGTCATATATTGCTCCTCATACCCTTGTACTGGGGCTTCCTAGTAATCTACTTCAAGTGTTGATTTGGTGGATTACCTCAAGACCTTGTCTTCATTTATATACAGACTTTATCACCCTCAGGCAGATTCTCCAGAGCAGAAGAAGGCAAGAACATTCCAAGATGGAGAGATGCTCCTGAGAGTTCAGAGTCAACCCTGATTTTGCCCCCACCCCATGGGCAGCATCTTCCTGCTTGAAATCAGGACAGCTGGTTTATACTTTTCAAACAACTGGCTTTCAAGGGAGCCAGGATAGACTTCTCAAAGTACAGCTTTATTATTATTCTTTCCTGGATGTAGGTTTGAGCACAGGAAATAGAATTTATTTTATACCTGTGTTCCAAGAAAAAAAAAAACACTAAAGTTTACACTTTGCTTGGAACTAATCATAGTACTCATTATTTGAATGGAAGGCTAGAATGTCCTGAACTAAGAATTTCTCAGCAGCATCTTTACCTAATTTCCTTTCTTTTATTTTTTTGTGTTGTTTACTTATTTACAAACTTGCTTAGTAGTTTTCCAGAATCCTTCTCTTTAGGACTTTGAATACCTAGTAAACATGCTAAAAGGATTTTTCACAATTATTTGGTTCATACTTACAGATGGGAGGACATTACTTACTCTTAGAAACTCACTTAACCTTCCTGGCATGGATCTCCTAAGAGGAAGAGTTGTATATCAACCATCGTATATTTCAAGTTAGAATCTGCAACACATGACTAGAAGAAGGGCATTCTTAGTACTTTATGGTTCCAGAAACAGTATGGAAGATTCATTTTTTTTTAGGTTAATAGAAAAAAGAAGATACACTATTTTTATTTTTCTGGGGCACACAGGCACAACCCATATTTGAGAAAATTGTGGCTGGTTTCCTATCCAACAGCAATCTCTGCAGGGTTGGGGGGTGGCAAGCTGGGGGAAAGGGCAGGCTTAGTTTACACCCTTAAAAAAAAAGATGGGTTTTCTATTACGGAAAAGTTCACAGCTCCTTAGTTGTTTTTAGTAGAATTAATAAAACAAAATCAGCAGAGGTAGTATGGAATCCTTGAAGAACAGTTTGAAAGGATACAATGTCGGGCACAATTAGGTGTGTCTGGAGCCTAGATACCAGTTTTGAGACCGGGACACATTTCTCTCTAATTCTTTCTTCTCCTCTTTTCCTTGGCTGTTTCTTATTGGTTCTTTACCATTCATTGGGCATTTTTTGCTAAGCACTTTACCTACGGTATTTCATTTAGTTCTCACACAAGCCTATAAGAGAAGTGGAAATCAAGGTCCATAAAGGTTAAATAAGTTGGCCCCGTCAGACAGAGGGAAAAGGTGGAGTCAGAACTCAACCCCAAATCTCTCTTGCTCTAGACCTTGACCTTTCAACCATCACATCACAATGCTTCCTCATTAAACTTCTTCTGTTCTTTATCCCAGGGACAGGATGAGAACTTCAGTCAATGTCGTGGGTGACTCTTTTGGGGCAGGGATTGTCTATCACCTCTCCAAGTCTGAGCTGGATACAATTGACTCCCAACACCGAGTGCATGAAGACATTGAAATGACCAAGACTCAGTCCATTTACGATGACATGAAGAACCACAGGGAAAGCAACTCTAATCAATGTGTCTATGCCGCACACAACTCTGTCATAGTAGATGAGTGCAAGGTACCTTTTTCATTCCTGGATATCGAGACTTGTATATAGTAGTGCATGCTCGACTTCTTTAAAGAACAAAAAACCCCTGCATCCATTACTGACATGTTTTGTTTTTTTTTTTAAAAAACCATGTAACCTAAGCTTCTATGAATCCCAGCTCATCTAACTCTGTGTCTAACATGGCAGGAAATCAAGTCTGACACTAAAAGAACCAATCTGTTGCTTGTTTCATCTATGTGATGTGTTACAAGCGTTCTCATTCCGGCATCAACCTACTCTACTAATTGGTTAGCCTTCTTGACTATTTTACCCAAGAATGTGGAGATTGCTAGAGCTCTTCTGGCTTCTCAATCTTCTATTCCTTGAATGGAACATTGAGAAAATACCACTCAATTGATACCGCATGAGTGTTCCTCTTTGTTGTATATAAAATTGGTAAAAAGTGTGCCCATAGAACTTTGCTTTCTCTTAATTATTTTTTTTGTGGGAAGGGTAAGTTTTGACCTGGCAGTACTTTGCTCCCAAAATAGGGAAGCAATTTCAAATGAAGAAAAACTATCCTTCAGAACAATTATCCAAATAAGTCTTTTAAAAACACTGTATCTCACATACTACCTAGCAGCGCCATCTTTTTCTACAGCGTGGATGTACTGGGTTCTTCTCCAGGCTGTTGGGGGCCAAGTCTTCAAGCGTGATGGGCTCTGCCTAGCCTTCATTGTAGCTAACTGGACCTTGTTAAAGACAGAGTGTTATGACCAGAGTAAAGCAAACTTGGAGAAACCCTGGCAGGTGGGCAGAGTCAACTTGGGTCTGGTTTGCTAAAATGATTCCATGAAGCAACTGAGGACAATCTGGTCCCACCACAGATCTCTGGTACCTTTTTAGCTTTATTTATTTATTTATCTGGTACTGGGGATTGAACCCAGAGGTGCTTAATCACTGAGCCACATGCCCTCTCTGGTACCCTTTTGATTCCTGTTGATATAATCACATTAAATCTTTGATTCTTTCCTGTGTTATATCTGAGCCATTCCAAATACATACCCTGATTTGTGACAGACATCTAAGGAAGCAATTCTCTTCACTGGACTGTGTCATAGGTCTGGAATTCTAGTGGACCAGGCACAGTCTTCTGTTTATCTCCTCTGCATCAGGTACATGGGTGGGTGAGCAGGGGCTCTGATACAAATCAGAGAAGAAACCTACCCACCAAGAAGCCATTGCATGAATTATTGGACTCAGTGAAAATAATTTAAATTTTTTAAAATTCACATCTACCTAAAGGGCATGATCCATTCATTGGAATTAGTGTTTTTCAGAAGTGAAAACACTATTCCCCATTGAAATGTTCGTCAAGGGTCCACATTCTCATGGAATGGATTTATATTCTATTATATTTCACAAATACTTATCATGTGCCTTGTAAGGTTTAGTTGAGTGTCCCCACCTCATGTCTGGGACATCCTGCATTTTGATCTTTAATCAAGTTTTTACTGACAAACCCCTTAATTAGGCACTAGAGGACAGTGAACGGAATGTACAGTGTTGTAGAGAAGATAGGACTTGAACTCAAATTATTGACATGTAAGAAAAAATTGCACGAGACAAAATGGCAATAATCATATATTTTTTTTAAATTTCACAGTCATATGTATGAGGAATCCTAGTGGTTAATTGCCTGTGTCATAGCCCTTTTGGAATGTTTCAAGAGGTTTCTTAATATTGTCAAGAACGTGTTTTGAAAAAAAAAAATAAAGGTGTATGTGCATGGAGATGTCTTTACAGTTAAAGCTTCCTGATTTTTTTTTCTTAAAGGACACCAGGAGAAATTTGCTTCATTTTTAAGCAAAATATTTCAAACTCTAAAAGGAGATGGTTGTGAATTATTCCTGTCCCTAAGAAGTAAGCTTATGAACAGTAGAATTTTGTCCCTATTCATCACTACCATGTCCCCAACTTCTAAAACAGTGTCTGGCATGTTATATATAGGTACTCTGTAAATATTTGTTGAATGTATCCTCTTGTCATCTTGACTCCATGCTATATTTAATGTAACCTTTTTGATGGACAGTTTCATACAAATGGATCAGTCTGAGATGGACCATAGAGATTGACATAGCTCAATCTCTTCTCAGTTGACTATTCAACCAGCCACCTGTAGATGTGTTCATTTGTTAGCATTTAAATGGTCAATGACCCAACAGAGCAGGTCATGAAGATGATGACAATAGAATCATTGGCTTAATAACTATTTCAGCTGTTTGCATTTTTAGTAAAGTGACTGGGTTCAGCTTAGAGAAGACGAGATGGTCCTCAGCCTTTGGTGGGATGGGCAAGTTGGCTCCTCTCTCTCCAGGTCAGTTAATTGTGTTAACACTGACATAGAAGCAGGTAGTCAGAGCGATGGGGATGAGTGAACACCATTTTTCACAATATCTGGGCCATACTTATTCATTCCTTTGAAATTTCTTCTAGTCAGTTTCAGTCTCCTCAGTTTTTAAGCCAGCATGGGAAAAATAAATGTTTCCTGCCAAAACTCTCCCCTTTTTCTTTTCTATCCTCAAGTGATTGGACCACAGATGGGTAAAATGGGTTAGGGAGTCAAGTCCCAACTTTCATTAGTTTAGCCAGGAAAGGAAATGCCAGAAAAAAATCCTTTCCCAGCTCCTCTTGAAGCATAGGCAACAAACATACAAACATAAAACAAACATAAAAACAAAACAAAAAACCCCACCTCCTCCAAGTTCTGTGTGATCCTTACAAAGGCACCACACTGTGATTGACAATTTTGCACTGCTATTGATCTTGTTCAGCACTAAGAACCAAATGAGCACATTCAAGGTCACAGTGAACAGCCAGCTTTGTCCAGTCTGTCCCTGGCAGACTTTCTTGACAGTTCACTGAAGGGGAAACCAATTTGCTGTAGCTCTGGTCAAAACTTTAACCACTTCAAGTATTGTTATGTCATGTTGGTCTATTTTCAACTCTTGCCTGGTCATAGTAGCTTGAAGTTATGTGATAGCTTTTACATTTTAATCAGAATAACTGCATGTGGCCTAGTCATTGCTAACTGCATGGACTTCCTAAACAAAATGGTAGGGGGTGGCTAATAGGGATGGGAGGAATGAATGGCTTTTATTTTTATTTGCTTGGTTTGCAAAGGGCGCTTGGTTCTCTGTTCTCAGCATGCTGCATGCTCATGATGCATGCATTTCATTTCCACTTGGGTAAGAAGGTCAGATTTCTTTCAAACATTGCTGCATTTGTCATGTCTCCATATTCTAATGCTTCCATAAATCCAGTCTCTCCATTATGTGGAATATCAGTCGTGGGTTTAAGTTTGCACATGACGTTGAGGACAGACAGAAGGTAAGCTAGGAAAACTGCTTAGTAGTGGAGGGGAGAACCTCCCGTTCTGCATAAGGGTTCAGTTTGCTTTGAGCCAGGAAAGTATAATATAGATGGTCTAATAATTATATTTGATTAATTAAATGTCTGCACTGAAATAATTTGAATTATTATGACTGACCTCAGGCTTTGAATCCTCCCCCCTCTCCTTAAAACAATTTTTTAAATGTAAAGATAGCTTATTTGGTAGAGCCAAATCATGATGATTTCTGATTTTTAAAATGAGCAGAGACTGGGAATTTAGCTTAGTGGCAGATCACTTGCCTGGCACGTGTAAAGCCTTGGGTTCTATCCTCATCACCACAAAATGAATAAGTTATTTAATTAATTAAAAAACCAAAATTGTACCTGTGTGAAATATACCTGGCATCATTGTAACTGAACTTTTCACATGCATGAGTAGAACTAGCTGTCTAGTTCTGGAATTTTCTCTCTGTGATTGTATGGAGTAGCACATGGCACTCACTGTATTTTTAAAATTATGTTACTGTGTGATGGGTCTGCGGATAGCAAGACACCCCACAATCCTAAAACTGTATTAGGAGCTATCCCCCAAATTGCAAAACATCCGTAATCCCTAAATACTTGTGATATTTTAACTCTCAAATCACTTCTGAATGCCAAGACAGGTTCAAAAATCAATTTGGAAGGAACTCTTTTTAAAAACAATACTCAGTTGTATATTACAACCTTGGATCTAGTGCTTCTCCATATAACCACCCCCCCCTTTTTTTTTCTGGTTCTTGGCCTGTAAGCTGGATGCTGATGATAATTATTTTCAGGTAACTCTGGCAACCAATGGAAAGTCAGCTGACTGCAGTGTTGAGGAAGAACCCTGGAAACGTGAAAAATAAGGATATGATTCTCAGCAAATTCTTGACTAAGCTCCCCAGCGTACCTTATGGTAAAGATGATATCAACAAGCTTTCTTTTAAAAGGAAAAAAAAATGCATATATTTCTATGTTACTTAATCTGTTAGCTGAGGCTTAAAGGAGCTGTTGTGAGTCATGCTGACAGGCAGGGTGCTGTGTCTTTGCCAAATAACGCTTCATAAACGTCTGATTTGCTCACTTGTATTATTATTGTTTGAATGGATGCTGCTGGAGGAATCACACTGAATTGAAGACACATTCTTGCAGGTTCTTTTTTTTTTTTTTCCTCTCAAGATGCATAACTGTGGAAATTCTTTTCCCAGGGGATATGACAAAAGCAGTGTGGTACATTCCAGGGATTTGGGACAACGAACGCACATGGTGTGTTATTCCTTAAAGTGTTCATACCTTGCCTTGTTAAGCACAAGAGATTCAGCTAGAAGCCTCTAGAAGTAACTCCCCTTCAATGTCTTGTAGAGTTTGCACATGTTGAGACTAAAAGCAAATATCTCTTAGGGAACTTGGACAATTTATCTTTCAGCACCCTTTAAGTTAAATGTTTCCTGAATTTTAGTGGAAGCCACACGGCTTCAGTGTGGCTGATCATGGAACCCATTGCCTCTCCATCCCATGCAATTTGGAGATTCTAGAACGCCTGTAAGAATAATAGTTGAAATTTCAATATATATGTCATAATTCTAAGCTTGATAATGGATTAGAAAGCATCTTGTGCATAACCACTGCATCTATTGACAAAATCAAGGGAGCACAGTTGCCATGGATTTTAATCAGATTTAACTATTGAAATTCATTTATGTTTGGTCTGCACTCACCTGACACAGTGAAATCGAGTGAGATTGTTCCATCTGTGTTTTGCTTTCTTTGTTTTTCCCATAAGGTTCTCATTTGGGATTTTAACCAGAAAGGTAGTTTCCATTCCCAAACTGTTCCTATCACATTCACCCAGCTGGCCTCTCATTTTGTCCTCCTGGCACACAGAGGATGCTTGTGTTGGCCATGCCCCTTTCCATACCATATCTTGGTACTTATATCTAATATGTAGAAAGCTTATTGTTGTATCAAAGCACATAAAGCCAGTTACAGGACACGGTTGGAAGCAGAGCCTGTCTTCCTCTTCAGTGGGAATGGAACAGAAAACAAAGAGCCACGCACAACCCTGTACAGGTGGCATTCCTATGGCAGAGTCCAGGCAGCCTTGAACCACAGAGTGGCAACAAAGGAGGCTCCACACAGCTTCCCAGATGGAATCTCTTTCAAGGCTGTGGGAGTCTGAAGGAATCCATAATCTAATTGGCATAGCCCAGTGCCTTGCCTGTGGTAGGTAGCCAACATGACCTTAAGGACTGGTTATGCGAGCTGAAGGCTGAATGCCTCTGCTACTGTCTCCTACCGAGTCACCCACAGTATTCCTCTAAGGTGGCTGGGTTTGGGAGTTAGCTGGGGACTTGAGTTATTAAGTAAAGCACATTTGACTCTAAGGAGAAGGTGAACCTTGGTCCACAGGCGGGAGTAGGGTGTGTCATCCGAGGCCAGCAGAGGGCTATGGTAGTTCTAGAACCCCAATTCTCTGAGGAGAAGGTGGTTTTGGAATCACCTACCCTTAGTAATCGACTGCTTGTAACTTCTGTCTCCCAAATAGGACAGCTTTGGAACCTACAAAAGATATGAGATTCTACCTGTCTTGTCTCTTAAACCCTATTTTTTAAAAATAAAGATCACTATGGAGCAGTATTAGCAGATTTTTAAAAAATGATGTAGGTCTTCATTTTCATTAAATGACCAGTTAACAGGGTGGCCAAGGACATGCTCAAATGTAGTAGTGGACTGTACCTCCTTTATAGCAGATGTCCCGTAGGCCGGTAGCCAATGGGACAGTCCCAGGGTTTAGCTGTGAAACTGTTTAGGATTGTCTCTAAGTGGTAATCCCAAGAGCTTTTTTTACACCAAGTAGAAGAATCCAGGCGAGGCCTCTAAGAGCTTGCTGTTTTTTTGCTGTAGAGGGCCAATGTGTCACTGGTACAGGCTAACGAGGTTTTTCAAAGCATTGGTCACAGGATTGTCGTCTCAAGGTCCTGCCCGAAAATCAATCTGGTTTCTTTTGTCCTCAGCTTTTTTCTTGCTATCCTGTTTAACCGATGAATAGATAAGGGGATAATGTGTTCAGAAGAAACAAGATGCAGCCTTACAAAGCAGGCTTTTCTGGTTTGAGGCTGTATGCATTGTCTCATGAGAATATACTCAGGAGATCACACTTATCTGTAAATTCAATAAATCATTAAAAGTAAACAATGGACCAAATTCAAGACTAGCCTGAATTTCCAGGATGTATGTAAAGTTGACATGTGACTATATCCTGTGGTGTTTTAGGCCTCATTCATTCTTCCCATGCCTTGCCCATTAGGGATTCTCTTGCCTAGAATATGTGCCATAAATAGTGCAAACAGATCCAGAGTATACCTCTAATAGCCTTTATCTAAATGGGATACCTGTCAGTTAGATGTATAGATTTATTCTAATAGAGCCATCACAGATGAATGCATATAATAGTCTGTTAATGTTTGATGAAGCATAAATGTTACATAGCCACAAATTGACATAGCAGGACAGGGACATATACCACATCCTGTAAAGTTTGTGAGTCAGAGCTTTGGCAACAGCATTTGTTGTAGGGTCATTTGATCTTTGCCGGAATCAGAATTATTTCAGGAGAAAACCACCCACGTAGACATCAATCCTTCTTTTTCTCAGTTTACCCTTTGGGAAACCCAAGTAGAATCATCACCTAATGATTAACTATAATTCAGGAGATCCAAATCAGTTAATGAGAAGGATGGCTTATCTTTCAGGCTAATGTTTGACCCTAGATTTTTTCAAGATTGTGCTCCTGACCTATGAAAAAAAATAAAATAAGGAAATCTGCATCTAAGAGCACAGTTCCTTGATAAAGGACATTAAGTGACTTTAGGAAGCTATTGAATTCTATTTTGAAAAAAATTCCTATTGGATACAGAAGCAGGCTGTGATGTCCTTGCCTGTAGCAGTTACCATTTCCCATAAAAGACAAATATTTATTTTCCCCTCCTACCCACTAGTCAGCCTGGTTATTCACAAAAGCTTAAAGAAAACATGCCAAAATGCCTGCCTCCTGGATTTAGACTTGTGGATGCTGAGAAGGGCTTGGGAGGAATTCTGTTCATGGGGAAATTCCTGGTAGGTGTTGCCAGGAATCCCAATGACGGGTTGATTGGGTCTCAGGTCATTTCCACTCATGCATGGAGAACGATGTCATTTGCAAGTACTTCTAGTCAGGAGGCCCTTTCGGAATTGAGTGGTTGGGAAACTTCTCTATTGGGTCCCCCAAAGAAAAACGATCCCTGTCATATTTTTTGCAAATATCACACTTCCCTTTGAAAGTTTGTTATAATTTTTCACCTTTGTCAGAATTAAGGCTTCTGCCTTTGCAATATTTTCCCATGGAGTACAGCAATAAATCCATGTAGGTATGCACATGCTCAGAGATAATTCTCCTTGGTTCTCACTCTTAAAAAACAAGTCTCGACAGCTTTTGCCTGATTTGATGACTAAAAGTGCACAGCAGTTACACCCTGGGGGAGGGTGGTTCTTCCCACTTTGCTGCTCTTGAACTCTGAGGACCAGTTAGTTGTCTGGGTTGCTGGTTTTGCTTTGTATAATGTCCAGCTGAACTCATTCCAGGCAAAGATAAAGCACCAAATGGGATTTTCAGTTATTGTAATACTCACTCTTTGAATAAGGATCCTAGATCTAGGGGCATAAGAAGATTAATTGAAAGCAAAGACTCAAGTGAGAGTTTTATAAATCTAGTTGTCAGAGAAGATTAATAGTTTCAGCATCTGTGGGAGTTTCTGGCTAGCTCTAGAAGAAGGGTCACTGTGTGCCAGTCAGGTAGGTGGCACTAGAGTCTCCTTGAGTGGAGTGAGTTCAAAGACACTCATGAAACATTAGCTTATGATTTTCCCTAAAAGAAAACCCAGTTTTCCCTCTTCCTCATCTTTCCTCTTATTTCGATGCTTATGAAACAATTAAGTGACCATATATACAGGTTAGTATAAAGATTGGTTTTCAAGCAGATAACAGGGAATCTTAATTGAATAGTATCTAATTTCATAGCATAAAATAACTAATTTCAGGCAATGACATAGAGATGAGCGAAACGACATGATTTGGTAGAGGAAATATTTAATTTAGACTCTGTCCATCTTTAGCTGAATGTCTTACACAAGCTACTTTATGCCCAAGCTTCATTTTCTCCCATATGAAAAGTGAAGGGGTTGGATTAAATGATTTAAATCCCCTTTCAATCCTACAAATCCACGGTATTACAATCTCTGCTTTATTTTCTTCTTTCACAAGAGGCTTACTACTATAAAATATTACGTATTTATACTCTAAGTCAGGGGGGCCCATGATAATGAAGAATCTAGATTTTTCTTATCCCCTTTGGGAGAAATTGAATTCATTTTATGCTTTCCTACAAGCTTGGAAGGTGGCCAGGTCAATCTGCAGTTTGATTTTTTGAGACCCTGATAAACATCTTTTGTAAAAGGTCCCTTTAGCTAAACTCACTTTCCTAGTAGCAGTAGGGATTCAGCTCAGGGAACATGCTGCCATCATCGGCAGGAGGGACCGGACCTGTCTCCAGCTGTACCCAAGCTCTTGCATCATCCCTGCTGTAGCAACAGAGCCCACTCCAAATACCCAAACCACATAGTTTTCTCCAGACAGTCCTAATTGCCAACCCAGTATGGGAATTTGGGAGCCTTTGGCAAAATAAACTTGAACACCCATGAAATTTGGTGCAAGACTTACACAATCACAGCGACTGTCTCTAAATACCTTGCCTGCTCTGCGTGGGTGCAGACACGCACATCCATTCACAAGAAAGTGGGGCTAAGTCTTTTCTCTGGAGGGATGTGCAGGGAGATTTTATTGAATTCATTTTCAAATTTTCTTCTTGGTTTGCTTTCCCCGCGGGCATCACCACAGTCGAGAAGCTCTAACTTCACAGACCATTATTACCCTTTTGGATGCCTGCAGAGTTTCTGAGTGGATGGGGTATGGTGCATGGTCTGCAAGGTACATGCCACAAGCCACGACCTTTAAGCAACCTCTTGCACTTTTTTGCTATTGTTGCAGTGGGCCACTGCTTGCATCTTTGCCCTTTGTCCAAACTCTGCTAATACAGAGTAGGGTTTGTATTTCTTGTGTGGTGACTTACCTTTATGGACAGAAAAAGCTTCAATTCTCCATATTTGGAGGAGACAGACATAAAGCTGGGACTGAAAGGATTGAGTATTTTTGTTATTATCATTTGCTTTGATTTTTTTTTTCCATTAACATGGAAGACCTGATGCAAAAGCAGCAAGATAAACAGTTTTTTAATCAACCCATTTAAGAAACTGTAAAAAAAGTGAAAGAAGCCCTTCAGGTCTTATTCCATTCATTCTAAATAACATCCTGAATAATTACTAATCAGGTTCTGTCTCTATGTCCAGCCTTGCTTCACCTTCTACCCTTGAGCCAAGTATCTGTTTTGATATTCTTTAAAAGTCCTGGTTATTATTCAGGGACTTTTTTTGTGCTGATAATGAAAGCTACTACTGGAACAGACCTTGCTGCTTTGCAGAGTCAGCACTTGATCTAGACAATGTGTACCAACACGTCCCAGGCTCCTTGGAGACATCCACCATCCCTGGGTGAGGGTTGGAACCCTTATCACCTTTCCCTGTGGAGATGGATATGATGCAGTCAGAGTCTTGCTACTTCTGGGTCACGGTTTCTTCTCCCAGGTACCAGTTAGCCTGCCTGGAAATAGCCCCTGGTAGGGGGCAGATACACTCACCAGTCAAGGAAGTTTGTCCAGCACATCTCTGAGGTTCCTCCCGCATGGGGCAGATAGATCCTCTGAGATGTACAATGGTCTCTCGGGTGGCTTACCACTCCATGAGGGTTGCTTTCCTGAGCAGGAACTCATCCTTTGGCATCTAGATTCTTCTACAGATTCCCTTCACTCCCTCTTGTCCTCCTCTCCCTGGAAGAGCTTAGCATTCCATCTCCATGTTGCACAACTCAGATCAGATTATCTGATCACTAGAGAGATTTGTATATAAAAAAGCTACTTTTTTTGAGAATTTTTGTATATTCCTTTTCTATTTGTTTTCTACAGTTTGAGGAAAGAGCTGGCACAATGTGAATCTAGTTTTATCTTGCTGCCAGCGGATATATTTTGTCTTCCTGGTAAGAATCTATGGTACCAGGGACAATATATTGTCCTCTCATCAGTATTGCACCCCAAAAACTACAAATCACTTTAGCTCAGTCTTGCATTTTTTTTTCTTAAACAAATCCCCATGCCTCTTTGCTATTATTTATAAAAGCACGAGAAAATGTATTTATAGTCATGGAAATTATATGTTTAATATTAATTTAGCCTTCCATAATGCTATACATTTGTATCTATTCAGAAATCATAAAGAACTCAGTATAGACTGAAGTAATCTATTTAGTATCTGTAATTTTGCAGACAGATATTTTCTTATGGTATTTTCTATATAACCACATATATAGAATTATAACTAGAGCACAAGAAGTTTCTACAGCAATTTAGAGCTATCAATTCTTTCCTGAGTATATCACCACATTTCAAAAATCGAAGGACCCATTCTTAGCAATGCAATGAACACGTCCATGAAGAACAAAGAATTACTCAAATGCCTTAGATTGTTAGGACGTGCATCTAAACAATCTTTCTAACTCAAGGAATGGTGCTGATTTTGAATTTTTGACACCAGGCCTTGTTTTTCCAGCTAAGCATTCTAATTTTGATGGTCTTTAAGATGATCAAAGGCAAGATGATAATAGCAGGATCATTTTTATATCAGAATCTCCCCTACCTCTAAATGTTTATATGAAATTTGGCTTAGGAAAACTTTGAGTAGCAAAGACTGAGTACTAGGAAGGAAATTGGAAAGCTATTTGTTGCAGTTAATTCTTGCTAAGGGAAATGCTAGTAAATATCACATTGTTGTATGAATTGAGCACATATTTTTAAGGAAAATTTGAAAACTTTTTTTTTAAATACTGACAATGAAGCAATGCTGTGTCACTGGGGGCTGTAGGTGGGAGCTTAGAGTCACACTGAAACTGTTTAGAAAAAGCCCAGGTAGATTTTTGTCCTCAGGTGAATAACAAACTATGTAACTTTCCCAAAAGGGAAGTGGTAAATTACTAGCCACTGAAAAGATGAGGTGTCTTTCCTCTGCCAAACATACTTTCTGATAGGGTGGTAGGATTAGTTTTTTTTTTCCTCCCATTTTAAAAAGTAGCCAGTTACATAGAAAGCATACTAGTGTGTAGTTGAACCTGCTCCTCATTAAGCACACAGATTAGATGTGTCCTCAACTGGCTAAGATTGTATCTGTTTTCAAGTACAGCTAGCTGTCAAAGCATGAAGTTCTTGTGTGTACACGCTGATACTTGGTTCACGCATGAAGAACAGTGCCTAAGCACTTTGTGTAGCTATAATGTAGGTATCTAAGTGTAATTTCAGTGAAATGGTGTATAGATGTGTTGTAATTTAATTTAAATATTATTTTTGGCTGTTCATCTAAATGCAATTAGACACGTTGATTTGTGTTTCAAAAACCCTTCTTTTCTTCTTAGAAGCTAGAAGCAGTGAGTTATTTCTCCTCTCAATGTCATTTGAGGATATATATGAATGAAGAACTTCTCTATGAATCCTTTCTAGTAATGATTGTGTGAAGGTCTGTGGGTGTCCAGCACCTCTGTCAATACACTTTTCAGAGCAGGGGTGGGTCAGATGTGTGGTCTGGTTCTTAGGGAAGGTCATGTGATATCGGCATAATACACGGTGAATGCAACGGGGGAGCTTTTGATTATCTTGGCTTAGGTAGGTTCAGAATGAGGACACTCACCTGCAGGTCCTCCTGCATCTGGTGGATCAGGCTCATTGAGACAAAAGGTCAGTAGGCTCCCAAGCATGTGAGCATCGTGTCTTTAGGGAAGAATCATTCTCTCTGGTTGCCAAATACTCCGTCACGATGCACATGCTCTGAAGGTTCTGAAGAGCCTAGTCTCCCTTGGCCTTTTGATTGAGGATAGTGGGAAACACATTTTCTGACTAACTGCCATTCAGGTGAAACCCCACAAAAGCACAGTTTGGGCATCAAACAGCACAGTTTTAGAAAGAGAGTGCCCTAGAAGCACAGGGTCAGTCAGTTTGCAGTCTTGGGGACTGCTGAGGGGCAACTTCCCATATATATGTGAAGGGAGTTTGACCTCTACCCAGTATGCTTCATGTGTATGCTTGGAATGACTGAAGATGAGATTACTGAATGCAATTATACCTTTGTCTCTGAAAACACACATTCTGTCTAATTTCCACTAAATGCCATGCTATGAGTTCTGTAGTTCCTCTAATCCCTTTCTCCTCCCTAATAACAGAGAAGAAACAGCAATGTGCTGTGGGGAACACTGAGTGCTCTCTCTTTTCTCAAGGGACTGAGACCTGAGCTCACAAGGGCATGGAAGCACATTAATTTGCAGTGTTTTCTGCAGATAAGTGGAGTGAGGGGATACGGTGGTTGGACAGATTTTTTTTTTCTTTGAAAATGTGGCTTCTTCCAATTCAGATTGAAAACTTGCAGAAAGAAACAAGCCTTGAGCCAGGATTGTCTTTGAAGATTCTTGTAACTCCAAGACAAGAATCATAGTTTCCCTCATGTTCACAATCCCCGTTGGTCTGAAGTCATGTAGCATACAACATCTATAGCACATGGTACTAATGAATGCAAAAAGATAAAACTTCAACTAATTTTGGGATTGTTTGTTACGTATGGTATTAGGAAATGCCTTGTTGGCAAAGCACATTTTGGGGATTTGAGGTCTTACATTTTCGCCTTTAGCTTTCCAAGCTTTCTTTTGGAGTGGACTGATTAATGTAACATTTCATGTGTAAAACAACTGGATATTCTTTATATGCTGGAAATAACCTGTGAATCCAATATTTCACTAAGTGTTTTAACTTTTGTGTATATATCTCTCATCAATAAATGTGGACTTCAATTTCTCTTGGTGGTTGCTTCTTCTTCAATTCCCACTTTAGTTTCTTGTTGGATACATAGAATGGGTCTTTCTGAAGATATGCATGGACCGAAGGCTATAATATGCTGAATGTTTTCTTGGAAGCTTAGAATACATGGTGGGGTTACATATAATTATCTGAAGTTAGTAGTTTGGGGAAAAAATGGCATATAATCAGTGAACGAGCTAGTATGGGCTAGCTCAACAAATCTCAGGGGCTTAAAACAACCAAAATTTATTTTTTACTCAAGTAACATATCTCCACCAGTAAGCCGGGCAATATCTGCTCTTTGATATCCCCAGGGAATGTCTTAGTCCATTTTGTGTTGCTACAATAAAATACCAGAGATTGTGTACCTTATAAGAAAAAGAGGTTTGTTTTGCCTCATGGTTTTAGAGGCTGAAATGTCCAAGTTTGGGTGTCCACATCTAGCAAGGGCCTCATGATGCATCATAACATGGCAGATGGCATCACATTGAGGAAATACATGCAAGAGTGACCAGGGGAACCTGGGGAAGAGGCCAAACATGTGCTTTATAACAACATATTCTCATGAAAACTACTCAAGTTGGAGGTGGGCATTAATCCCTTCTGAAGGTGATTTCCCCATTGACCTAATTACCTCCCACTAGGTTCCACCTCTTAAAAAGTCCATCCCCTCTCAAAAACCTACACTTGGAACAACTCTACCAGCACATGAACTTTTTTTTGGGGGGGTGGGGGTGGGGTGGGGTAGGATGGGGTGGGGAAGAAGAACACACCCAAACTGTGGCCAGAAGTATAAGGGAGGCTCCATCTCCATGCTCCTGCAGTTACCAACACAGGAAAAAAGGAACATGAGGAACCTTGACTGAATCTTAGAGCTTCCCGTGTACCTCACTTCTGCTCATATTTCAATGGCAAAAGCAAGTCACACAGCTCTACCTGACCTCAAGGGGCCGAGGAAGTGAAACCTTCCCAGATGTCTAGGAAGAAAGCTGGAGGTAGCAGGCAAATGGCTCTAGTGGCTATCAGGCCATGAAAATTCCTTACAACATTCATAAAAGATAATTCACAAAACATGGTTCCTTAGTAGGTCCAGCACAGCCCGCTTTCCTCCAGTATGGGGGAAATTATAGTTATGGAATTGAGTGGCAAGCATGGAAACATTGTGTTAGAGAAATGAAATGCATGGTCTTCAACAGCGGGATCCCCTCAGCATGGCGAGATGAGCATGTGGTGAATGCAGGCCCACTGGGAGATCCCTTTCCACATTTCAGGGTACCCACTGCAGATGGCCTAGACTCATTAAATTGTTCTCTAGAACAATCTTTTTTGGGGGGGAGGTAGAGGAAAGGAGGCAAGTATTTGATTTTAAGTAAAATACATAAATGTGTTACATCATCAATTTTTTTTTTCCAATTAATGGCAACAGTTTATTTAAATTAGTGGTGGGAATGATCACTTCATTTGAACAGACATTTTTCTCTTCCCTGGAAGGCCAAGTCTGACTCACATCCACATTTCAAAATGCTGGTCAAATCTTAATCACAGAAAACATACTTAACCGTACGAGTCCAGGCTGCCATTTTATTTCAAGAAAGCAAAGAGCCACGAATGAAGTCCACTTCTAAACACTTTAGTATGGATGCATCTTGGTCAAAATCAGCCAGTCCTTGCAAAGATGACTTACCCAGGAAGAAACTTGATTTTGCTGGGACCATGAAGTCTGGGACCATGACTCCTCTTCGCCTGGATCAGAGGTGTTAAATCCATCCGCTGTGCGGGCCAGGTAAGTGTTGCTTTGTTCCCAAAGAAGAAGAGGAAGGGGAAGAAGGAGAAGGTCAAGAGGAAGAAGAGAAGAAAGAAGAGGAAGGAGAAAAAATATTTTGGAGGGTGAGTATGAAAAGAGCAGTTGTGGACTGAGTAATGTCACATAGAAGTTCTCATCTCCACTGAGTCATTCAAGACTTCTGCACATGTGGCTATGCTAATCAGCTTTCTATTACTGGGGGAAAAAAATGCCTGCAATAAATAAACTTATAAAGAGAAAAGATTTATGTTGGCTCATAGTTTGGAGGTTTCTGTCCATGGTCTGTTGACCCCGGTTGCTTTTTAGGTCTGTGGTGAGACAACTTATGAGGGTAGGAAGTGCCTGGCAAAGCAAATAGCCACCCACCTCATGGTCAGGATGTGAAGGAGAAAGAAGGTGAGACCAGAGTCCCACAGTCTCTTCCACAGCACGTCCTCAGTGACCTAAAACCTCCCAGTGGGCCTCTTAAAGATTCCACTAAACCACCCAATAGCACCAAGCTGAGGATCAAGGCTTTAACACGAGGGCCCTTGGGGGAACATTCCAGATTCAAACCAGAGCAGTGGCCAATTCTCTTTGGAAGTATATAAAATTAGGGCTTTGAGTTAGATAATTTCTGGTCTTTTGAACACTGAAATTTGAATTATCTTGCCCAGGTAAATCGGCATGACTACAGATATTTATTTATTTATTTGTTGATCTTATTAACATAATATCTCATTATTATTCTATTATTAACATAATAGAATACATGTAACCCAGATCTAAGTCATAATGTCACATGGACTATAATCTCACAAACCCATTGCCCAGGGCAGGAACTCTGGTGCTTCTCCCATACTATATTCTTTTGCTTAATTTGGGTATATAATTTCCTTGCTTTTTAAAGAATGGTTTCATCCACATATATGCATTCCTAAATAAGCTTTGCTTATATCGGTCTTTCTAAATACTACTGCATGTAAGTTTTTTATTTTTTTTATTTTTTTTTTTTAATTTTTTATTGTGGGTTGTTCAAAACATTACAAATTTCTTGACATATCATATTCCACACTTTGATTCAAGTGGGTTATGAACTCCCACCTTCACCCCATACACAGATTGCAGATTCACATCAGTTACACATCCATTGATTTACAAATTGCCATACTAGTGTCTGTTGTGCTCCGCTGCCTTTCCCATCCTCCACCCTCCCCCTTATTTTTTAATTCTATTTTTTATTTCTTTCTTTTCTTTTTTTTTTCTTACACTATTGGGGGCTGAATACAGGGCACTCTGCAACTGAGCTACACCCCCAGCCCTTCTTACTTTTTACTCTTTAGTTTACAGAGAGGGTCTTGCTAAGTTGCTGAGGCTGACCTCAAACTTAAGATCCTCCTGCCTTGGCCTCCTGAGTTTCTGGGATTGCAGCTATCCACCAATACACTGGGCTGCATGTAGTCTTTTTGAACATGCCTTTATTTTTTCCTATCAGATGTTGTACTTCTCCGTTCATCCATGTTGTTTCAAGTAGCTGTGTCTGATTAATTTTCACTGCTGTATCATAATATGTGAAATATGACACATTTTGTCGATTCATTTTCTAGCCAAAAAGCTTTGTCTTATTTCTAGTTTTCTTTTCTGTTTCCTATATGTATAACCTAGCATGCATTCTTAGGTGAAATAATAAAAATAATAATATCATGTGTATGTGAGTGAAAATTTCCTATACTGCCTACCTTTTTGTCCACAGTCTTCTCACTGGGCCCCACTGTGCACCACCCATGATAGCCCTGGTATCCATAAAATGCCACCTGTTTCATGGAGTCCCCTTCTCTAATGAGAGCACTGAGGCAAGCAAGGGACATTTCTAGGAGGAGAGTTCAAGGTTAAAAATGGAGGCCTTCTTTCCTGAGGCTCACACGGTCAGGCCTTTGAGCCCAGGTGTGATGGTAGCTGGGCAGGGCCCACTTGGTCCTCAGTGTCTTGTTTGAGCAACAGCCTGTGAGGCCCAGCAGGCTCCTCCAAAAGCAGCTGGTTGCTTGCTGTGATGTTCATTTCTGTCATTTGACAGAGGTTACAGGAAGTCCCAGAAAACCCCTCAACCTACCCAAGAACTGCTTGTAGCTCCTTCAGCTACACCCTTGTCTTCATCAGTTCTGGCTGCGATAACAAAGTACCATAGACTAGGTACTTTATAAACTAGAAATATTTATTTTTCACAGTTTAGAGGCTCAAACTCTGAGATTGGAGGCGGCATGGTCGGGTTCTAGTGAGAGCCCTCCTCTTGGTTGCAGAAAGAGGGCAACAAAGATCTCTGGGGTTCCTTTTACCAGAGCACTTATTCCTCCATGGGGTCCCATGCTCATGGCCTAATTGCTTCTCAAAGGCCCCACGTCCTAATACCATCCACTTGGGGGTGAGGATTTTAACATGTGAATTGCCAGGGGTGGTGGCTCATGCCTGTAATCCCAGCAGCTGGAGGCCGAGGCAGTAGGATCATGAGTTCAAAGCCAGCTTCAGCAAAAAGCGAGGCCTTAAGCAACTGAGCAAGACTCTGTCTCAAAATAAAACAAATAAAAAGGGCTCAGTTGATAAGTGGCCCTGAGTTCAATACCCAGTTCAGGAAAAAAAAAAAAGAAAAAGAAAGAAAGAAAAAGAAAATGTAGATTTGAAGGTGACACAAACATTCTGTTCATTACCCCATGATGGAGGACCGCAGGACCATAAACCGCAGCATCTCTGAAGAGGATGTGCTTGTGGCTCCCACCTAAGGCACTGAACCTTGTGGGTACCTTCTTTCCAGGCACAGTGACATAAACAGGAAGCCAGTGCTCTGCATATCAAAGAGCCACAGGTGAGAGAAGTTTCAGCCACTTCCAGGCAATGGGTCTCCTTCCCACTTGTCAGCCCAGACAGGAAGGTGGGGGTGGAGATGTTGCCCACATTTGACGTGGATCACGCTAGAGACCATGGAGTCCCTGGCAAGAACACAAATGTTTCTAGTTTAATGCTTTTTTTTCCTGGTAGTTTTCTAAGTTTAGTTAATCATGGCTCCCAACGAGGCACTGAGGAACCATATTTAGTTTCCATGTTGTTGTAAGAAAAATCGAGCCACAGCGAAGTTCCAGTTCAGGAGTGCCGATTATATCTGCATAGCTTGTCCAAAAAGAGTACAAATCCACCCAATAGGAATATGGTTTTACTTTCAAAC